GCGTCTCGTACGTAATGCCTCCGTCAAACGTGTCGATTTCAAGGACTCTGACCACAACCTGGTGCATACGACTGTCCGCTCCCCCCCCCGTGTCGCACCCAACCGACGAACGCGGGGAAACAGCGGAAGCAGCCGGATCCGTATCGACCTCGAACGGTTGAGGAAGGATGTGCACCTACGGGCCGTCTTCCAAGACAGGGCTCTCAACCGCCCTCCGCCCACGGCCCTCAGCAGGCCAACGGGAGAGACCGCCGCCGAGCTCACCGCTGTGGTGATGTCGGCCGCTGCGGAGATCGCGCCGCTGGCGAGGAGCGCACGAGGGAAGGGAGGATGGTACACGAGCGAAGCGCAGCACGAGATTTCCGAAGCGTCTAGGGAGATAAGAGTGGCCCAACAGCAGCTGCGCGGGGCCTCAAAGAACAGCGACTTAGAGACGACCCTGAAGGCGAAGCTCAAGGCGGCGCGGAAGAAACGCAGCAGCGCGAGGTGGAGAGCACTGGAAAAGTTCTTCGAGGGCTATGTGAGGCAGCTCGAGAAGAAGAGCCGTGAGGGGGACCAGGCGGGTTTCTACAGGCACCTGAAGATGATCGACGTCGAAGGTAAGAGGCCACTTACCTCCCAGAACATCAAGGACGAGGACGGTAAGGTCCTTCGGGACCCCACGCTTACCCGCCAGCGGTGGGCGCGGTGGTTCCACAAGCTCCTTAACACCAAGTCGCCGACCATCGACCTGCATGCGACCGACAGAGTCAAGCAGTGGCCCACGTGCGTTCCGCTCGACGACATCCCGTCTCTATTCGAGGTTGAGGAGGCGGTGCGGGGAATGGCCAACAGGAAGGCCGTCGGGCCGGACGACCTACCGGCTGAGCTGATCAAGCTGTTCCTGGATGGAGACCGAGGCTTCCTCCGCGAATTCCACGCCATCGTCGTGGACGTGTGGCAGACGGGGAACGTACCGCAGCAGTGGAAGGACGCCACCATCAAGGTTCTGTTCAAGAAGGGGGACACGATGGAGTGCGGCAACTACCGGGGCATCTCTCTCGTTGCACACGCCGGCAAGGTGCTGCTTAAGGTCGTTGCAACACGCCTAAGCCACTACTGCGAGCGAGAGGGCATCCTCCCGGAGGAGCAGAGCGGTTTCCGCCCACACCGGTCGACGCTCGACATGCTGTTCGCGATCCAGCGGCTCCATGAGCTCGCGAGGAAGAAGAGTACTGCGGTCTTCGCGTGCTTCGTCGATCTCACCAAGGCGTACGATTCGGTGGACCGAGATCTGCTGTGGGACGTGCTCGGACGCTTTGGCGTGCCCCCGAAGATGCTGGCGGTCATTCGCCACTTCCACGAGGGCATGAGGGCGCGGGTTCGAACGGACGACGGGCAGTACTCGGAATGGTTTGACGTCGGCCAAGGTCTCCGACAGGGGTGCAACCTGGCCCCGCTGCTGTTCAACTTGTTCTCTGCCGCGATGCGCATGGTCGCAGTGACCGAGTTCGACAAGGACCCCAAGGTGACGGCGGATATGATCAAGATCGCAACACGAGTGGAGTGCACGGGCAAGAGGGGCAGGTCGGCGGGGAAGAAGGCGATGATGGTGACGGTCGCAGAGGCCCTGTGGGACATGCTCTACGCTGACGACGCGGCCATCGTCTCGCTCACGCCGGAGAGCCTCGAAAAGATGATGTCCATCATCGTGCGCGTGGCCGGCCTGTTCGGACTGATGGTATCGGAGCCAAAGACGGAGATCATGTGCATGCTACCGAAAGGGCTGGGGGAACGCCCGTTCGCGGTCAGCGCCGCTGGCCAGACGTACAAGCAGACAGATCGGTTTGTGTACCTCGGACGTACCATCTGCGCGGATGGGAAGGTCGACCGGGAGATCACGAGCCGCATCTGCCGAGCATGGAAGTGCTACCGCCGGAACAGCACTTCGATGTACGACAGGAAACGGGCCAACCGCCAGCTCAAGATCCGACTACTCCAGGCTGAAGTGGTGCAGACCCTCCTATACGGGTGCGCCTCGTGGAGCCTGGCAGCGGAGCACTACACCAAGCTGAATGGGACCCACCGCCAGTTCCTGACACGGTGTATCGGCTGGAGCAAGCGGAAGCGCTCAGACCGACCCCTGTCCTACGCCCAGGCCCTCATCCAGGCCGGCTGCGAGGAAACCATCGAGGCCACCGTGCGCAAACGGAGGCTGTGTTTTGCGGGCTTCGTTATGCGCATGGAGGACAACCGCCTCCCCAAGCGCATGCTGCTGGGAGCGATGGCGGGGGGTACCGGATACCGGGGCGGGCAGGAGAGCGACTGGGTGTATCGCCTAGGAGAGGACCTCGTGGCGTTTGGCATGAAAGAGGAGAAGGAGGGGGGGAGATGGAAAGAGAGCGCCAAGGACCAGGAGGCGTGGTACGACAAGATCGAGGACGGGGCGGCATGGTTCATGAGGAAATGGCACAGACAGGAGGCGGAAGCATCCGCGAAGCGCCAGCGCCAGCGCGCGGAGGAAGCAGAGACGGAGAGCACGGCCGCCCCGGGCCCGAAGAGAAAGAGAATCGGGGAAGCGGCGGGGGGGGGGAAGAAACGGCGACCGGACACTGCTGTAGAAGCGAGTAGGGCGGCCAAGGCCGCGCTTGCGGCGAACGACGTACCCAACTGATGATGTTGTCGCACCCTGTGTTCCCTTTTCCCTGCCGTAAGCTGTATGCTCTTAGTATTGCCTCCGGCCTCTCTTTGTGCTTTTCTTCTTTCTTTCTTTCTTGTTCTCCATGCCCTCTCTACGATGATCTTGGACGATACCTCGAGCTCCTTGTTATTTTTGTTTTTTCCTTTGCTGGCTGCCTGCCACCTCTGCTGCCTCTTTGGTGCGGTGCCTACCCTACACTAATGCGCTGGTGCATACTGCACTGCTGTAGTACCTGGTACTGGTGTACGTTGTCCTTCGATTTTTTTTTTTTTTTGTGGGAATATATATGTGTTTGTTTTTCGCCCCCCGTCTTGCTGCACCCCCTGGGGTGTGGTGCAGGGCGGGGGATGCCTGGTCGGCGGGAACCCGGCACGGAACCCTCCGGCGTTGTAGGCGGGTGTGGGAAGCGTTCCCCGTTCTCCTTTTATTTTATTTTGATCGGTCTCCTCGACGCTCTTTCTCGTTTGGTGCGGTAGCTGGTCTTTCTTTCTATCATTTTGTTTCTCTTCCGAGTGGTTTTTGTACCCTATTTTTTTCTGTTTCTTCGTGGGGTCGTGTATGCCGGGTTTTGAGACCACGGGCTCCTAATCTTTTTCTTTAGAGCTAATGTGAGAAACAACAACAACAACAAAACCATCATTGAGATGAAGAATGCGAACGGTCACGAGGCGGAACATCGAGATCTCAATGACAACGCTTGAAGGGATAAAGCTACGAAGAATATGATGGGAGCGAAAACAAGGAGGATACTGGTGAAAGTATTCCTAAACGAACTCGAGTTCTAGGTAATAGCCTTGGTAGACGGGTGCAGTTTTCTTCTGTTGCTGCTGTTTCTGTTTTTGATCCGAAGGATAGCTTAGCCTCCCCCATGCTGCCCCCTCACGGGGTCCCAGTTCATGGTAGATAGAAGTGTTTTGTGTTTTCAACCGCACTAAGACTGACGTCTTTTCATTGGTCAGCCGGTTAGCGCGGTCGATGCTAATAATAAAAGCACACACACACAACGGAGCACGTCGGGTATATGGAGTGAAAAGGACCGACCCAACAAAATGATACCAACGGAGGAGCTCTTCAACCGCTTTGTAGTGATAAGGAGGGATTATTTCTTGACGTACGTGCACCAGCAACTGCTGTTCTTTTGTTGTGGTCTGCGACCGACCAATCGGTTCCCGCATCCACGCCTTTATCACTAGTATAGTTGGTGTACGCCGCAGCAAAACAGTGCCACACGGCGTGAGTTACTTGCGTCACAGGTTCCGGTTCACCACCGCGTGTGCCAGCAGGGTGCAAATAGACAGACAGTAAGGAGGCTACGTGCTACCACCCCTTCCTTGAGTAGAACCTTGCGTAACCGAAAAGACGGCTCGAAAAGATCCCGCGCCGACGCTGTGAAACAAACACTTGCCAGTAGGTGTACAGCACTCGATCTCCACAAAGGTCCACGGGCAGGAACGCAGGAACCGTGCCTATGTCTACGTAAGTTTATCATACCCTGCCCGTATCATGGGGGTTGTGTGGGTACCCCAGCACGCAGAAGCTGACGCCCACCGACGCCACAGTAGTCGATGTGATAACCTGTGGAGCTTGTAGCAGCAGAAGCTCCGCAGTACAAAATGGAGAAATGTTGTAAACACGGCGCTTAGGTGGCCAACACAGACAGATACAACCAGACAGATGGTAGCAGTCTAGGCTGTATGCCAGCAGCACCCAAGGTACGACAAGGACAGCTAAGGTACCCAGACAGTCCGATAGATCACAGAGAGAGATGCCGAGGTCGAGCACCGAACGACAGAGCGTGAGACTGACTGTGGACAAAATGTCTGTAGGTTCCTCCCACATACTACGTTCCAACCGACGCATGAGATAACACACACGTCACTTAGTCCACGTAGGCAGCAGCTGAACATTGAGAAAGAAAGGAGATGCGTGGGCATTTCCACAACAGCCAACCCTGCATTGCGTTACATCAAGCAAGATCATCATGTTTCATCAGCAGCAACCTGTGGACCGTGCAAGGCAAACATTGCATCGCCAGGAAAATCCTTCCGAATTCCGCATAGCATACACACACCAGCTGCGAAGAAAGCGGACGGCAATCCGGTGGAGTATTTGGTGGTGGTATCTTCATGCTGTGCGCGGCTATGATGATGACACAAGTCAGTTGGTGTGGGGTCGGGTCTCTCAGTATTGATGTACCACTGTTTTGTCGAACAAAAGGAAAAAAGCGACGGTTTCATGTGGCCATCCAAGTTATAGAACGCCCGTCGATGACGCGGCGGAATTAGCGGCGGGATGGTCGGATGATCGCCCACACCAGGCCGTTGCTGTGTGCTGTGTGCCATGGAAGGAAACGAAGATGACCCTGCCGCAGGCCAGCATAGCAGCGGAGACCAAGAGGAGCTGCGACGAAAACAGGCACACTTGAACTTCAGTGCTTCACACCAGGCTCGACAGGCTGCTCGCCAACAAGCGAGGTGTGTTTGGGGGTGGCAGGCAAGAGAGAGACACAGCCAACACGCACTCGTGTGTACCACGTCCTCGGAGTAGCAGGTACCTGCGGCCACCAACTATTGTTTTTTTTCAATCGGCGTGCGGTGATGGCCATGCTTTTCCAGCGAGGCTGGCAGCAGTGTGGATATCCGTACGGCGTCTCACGAGCAGCTATAGTAGTTAGGGTACCATATATATCTTGCACATGGCTCGTTTGATGAGTGTTTTTTCAAGGTTCCAACCGCTGCCGTTGGAAACCACATCCCCTGGACCGACCGTATTGCACGAACCGATTACCTGCGAACCAGCGACGGTGCCGAAAATGTCGGTGTTGGAACGGTATCGTCTAGGAATTTCCGAAGGCGTGTCATAGTTTGATTTTGGCACCCTTTTCGTGGTGTGGGGCAGTCGAGCTTGGAAGACCGATGGTGTGGTATCTTACGACACCTACGGTAACCAACAGCAGATGCCGACAGTTGATATAATAGCAAATTGTAGCTGGAGTTGTGGTAGCAGTACCCACTCGCAGGAACCGGCTTTCCCATCTTCGCATTCGAACAGAAGCCTAGCCTCTATTGTGACGTTTGGATCCCCGTATTCTTGCGGCTAAACAGAAGCCTAACTCTCCTGTAATATTGTTTCATCCGTTCCCGAATACAGCACCAGTAGCGGCGAGGGCGGTGTGGGCAACGATGACGAGGCGAGGCACAACGAGGAAATCGCTGCCCTTTTCAACGAAACTTTCGCTGCAGATACGCAAGGTGATGAGAAGCATTAGTTTCATAGTGAAGGTGCAAGGCACGACTTTCTTTCCTATGCATACGCCCTAGCCCTAGTGAAAATATCCCACCGTATTGCAACGGCGACGCGTGCCGCTCTCGCATGAGCCAAACAACGGTGGTGCAATCCCGCCATCTAAGCATCCCTTCAAAAGACGAGTTTGGCCCGTCTCCATGATAATGTCTCGTACATACGAACGATGCAGAACATGGTACACCACAATGGGAGGGGTGGCACCTGCACCCGGCTTTGGCGTGCTTGCGTTCTTCGCACGAGGACACGGATATTATTGACGCCCCTCGTTCGTCTCTCAGTAAGAGGGAGTAGCAAATGTCATGGTACACACGTAGCTGGCTACGCTTGCCCCTGCTCTACCAACCGTTGTCCACTATGATCCACCACCGGTGCTCGCCGCCCGTGCGACCGCAGACATCACCAACACCCTAGACCGCCTCGTGGCTGAAAGCAAGCAACGGCCATCGCAAACAGCAGCGGGTACCGGCCTCGCCGGAGCTAGGCACGCCCACGGCGAAGCCAAAGCTCCGCCAGGAAAAGGAAATAGTGACGCTTCTTCGGCACCGGCGGTCGACGGCGGGAGCGGCGTTCGCGAAGAGCTGGATGCTTTGGTGGACCGGGTGAAGGGGTTGCGGAAGCGAACCGCCGAGGCTACCCTGTTTTTGACTGTCTACGAGCTTCGCAGGGCGCAGGAGGTAGACGCCTTTTGTTGCAGCACGCTGTACTTTAGCTGTAAAGAACCACTGTGCAAATATTATGTCGTGAAAACGGGGAAGCGCCCTTCGAATTTTTTACGTCCCCCAATTTTATTGCGAGGTCAATGGCCTAACGACAACGGCATGTGCGACTATGAGTACACCCCAGTTTCTTTTCGGGGCACTACGCTTCTGAAAAATGGTGTCCTTAACGCGAGAGTGTATTTTTGTCCTGGAGGCGGGGGCGACAGCTGTAATTTCATGCTTTACGTAAACATACATACGCTATTTAGCCGGTATTTAGGGTTAGGGTTAGCCTAGCTGATGTTTCTGCCTGTGCTCTTGTCGACCCTGGCCAGCAGCGGTGGTAATGTCCACCATGCCGAACTCGCAGCAGAGCACTGGCTCCAAACAACAACAACAACAATGAAAATGTTTGTGTTGCCGTGCGAGCATTTGCCTAGGCTCTTGCAGCCTATCTTTGTTGCTGCGCGCATAGATCCAATCCAAACAGCCAACTAGACTACGGTACACTACGCCTGGCAGACCCCCAATATTCGAGGCGACCTAGTCGGCCTAGCTCTACGCCAGGGCGAGCGCTCATCCACATCTAGACCCTTCCCCCGCCGGCGATCGCCGAAAACGCCGATTGCTGAAAAATATCGCCGGAAAACAGCAGTAAAAAAAATCGCCGAAAGAAAAAATAACGCCGATTCCGAAGGGGGCTCCGCCGAATCGAAAAAAGAGCTCGCCAATTGTCGCCGATTAAATTCACGGTGCCCCCTGTACCTCCTTTCTTTACGCTCTACACAGCTGAACGGCGGTGCTACGTCGTCGCCTCTTTGCGGTATGGAACCCTACTCTTAAAGTAGGTTGGATAATAGCAGTGAAAGCGAAGGGGATTCGGACAATGAGATGCAATTTGTCCCCCAAAAGGCAAAAGTGCTGCGGCTGCCACCAGCGGCGGCAGCGGCAGCGGTGGCAGCGGCGGCAGCGGCAGCGGAGGCAGCGGAGGCAGCGGCAGCAGAGGAAGCGATGACAGCGATGAAGACAGCGACTGAAGACCTGTGCTTTGTAAATTTGATGCTGATGTATTTCTTGTGTCGTAGGTCATAGGTCGTAGGTCGCGTCATCCTGTTCCTACTTCAGAATATTTTTCGATGTTGAGTGCAGATTCGGAATATTGCATGTTGTCTCTAGGAAAGAAAGAAAAGGGCACATTACTTCGCTAATCGCAGGCAGGTGACCTCGGCAGCAGTCCAACAGTCAACAGCCTCGCGACCCGCTCGATTGTGTGTACTAGATGTACACATATGCGTCGCGAAAGTCGCTTCGATGAAGGCGCTGATATAAAAAAAGTTGCGAGAGGTAGCAGCCGAAGAAAATCGCCGAAAATGAAACAGGACTCACCGAAAAAACATACTGAATCACCGAACGTCGCCGAAAAGTTTTTTTTTCCATCAATAATATTTGCCGAAAAAAACATCGTGAAACGCCGAAAAAAAAAATCGCCGGCGGGGGAAGGGCCTATCCACATCGCGTTTGATCTTTCACGCACACTGATGTTTGGGACTTGTTAATCTTGACTGGGACAACCGAAAGCAAAGTCGGATTCTCCTTTCTTGTTTTTGTTCATCCTTGCTTGTTGATATAATACAGGAGGTCGGTCGGCTGTGGGCTAGCGTGGAGTCCACGCGGGCCGAGCTCGCACCGAGAAAGAGGTTCGCCTTTCGAAGCAAGGCCAAGGCGAAGGGGAGAGACACGCGGAGAGGGGGCGGGGGGATTCCGGCACGGGAAGAGGGCCTAGCGAGGAAGGGGGTAGACGAGACGGGTGACGGTAAGTGTTGACTTCTTTTTCGAGCTGCACGTCAAGGGTTGTCGAGCTGTATTGCGTGACAACACCCGTAGCCTTCACCAATGTAAGGGTTGTTAACACGCAGCTTGATCGCTTTCGCGTTGGTTACGGAAGATCCGGAAACGTCTTGACTTCCGTTGTTATTGTTGATGTTGTTTTAAAGGGGGACTGGACCTGTCTGCCTTGCGCGAGAGGATCTGTGGCGTGATTCTGTCCCCGTTACAGCAGGCTGTGCGCTGCTGAGTTTTTTTTTCGCAGGCATTGTCATTCTGTGCCAGGCTTCAGTACCAGATGCTTAGAGGTGTGGGCTGAAAGCGTGTAGGGCGCCAGGGTCTCTGATGTTGAGCTCGGCGTGGCCACATGCGGCGGTGAAGGCTATCGTTCCAGCCGTTGTTTCAATCTGTGTTGGGCAGGGTGTGCGAATGGTTTCGGGCCCGGGGGGTAAAGCCACAGGTGACCTTCCCGTCTCTGGGATGAGGTTCCTCAGTGCGTTGCCCACCGGGTACTTGTACACTTGTCTGTCAACGGGTACACCCCAAGTCGTAGTCCCAGCTAGCGCCTGGAAACATTGCGGTACTTGTACACTTGTCTGTCAACGGGTACACCCCAAGTGTAGACCCAGCTAGCGCCTGGAAACATTGCTGTCGTTGGACACCTGTTCCAGGAGAACAAGAAGGGGAGGGAGGACCAGGGTTACGCGGGGTGAAAGGGCGGGAGGTGGAGATCTTGGCAGAAGACGCCGACAAGGACAAGGACTTTAACGTCGCCGACCTCGACAGCTGCAAGGTCACCATGTGAGTAGTGAGGGATAGCTACACACATGTGGCGGCCGCAAAGAAGTGAGAGTTACACCGCGCCTTCTCGTCCCGACAGCACTTCTGGGTCCTTCGGGTGGCCGCCATGCTCTTGCCGGTACCCCACCCATCGTAGATTCTAGATAGGTACCAGTTTACGAGGTTGGCGCATGGCGGGGGTAGCAAGAGGTCAGCGTGATCATTCTCGGTGCTCGTATAGTGTTGTATTGAGAGGCGCATGTATCACTGGTAGGGTGGGGCACGAAACTCCGGTGGTAGTACTTGAGCAAGTACTTGAGGAGATTGTTGAACAGGATGGTATGTTGCAGGAAGGGGTGATGCATCCGGCTACAGAGGCTATCGTTAACGTTCACAACGTGGTGCATGCGTACGTTGGAATTATGACATACCTCTTTTTTCGCCCTCGTGTCGAACAAACCCGTGAGTTCGAAGCGCCAACCATTTCATCGACCCATGCCGCCCAAGTCGTGTCCCAAACGGAAGCCATCACTCGTGTGTTTTCCCACGGCCGAATTTGCCACAGAGCCATGCGTGCGCCTGGTCAGCGCCGGCAAGGTCGGGCTTTAGCTCGACGGTGGACCCAGACGGGACGGAGAAGAAAAACTGCCGTCGGACAGTACCAAAACCTCGTCTTACGGAACCAACGCTTGTATTCGCTAGTACTATTTATATATATTTTCTCCCATCATTGGACTCTGTCGTTTGCCCCTCTGGCCCCTATCCTCCGCTTCTACTAGCTAGACGACCCAACTGGGGTCACATAGGGGGGGGGGGGCTGGCCCCCCTCCTGCGGTTCCGGCCTGAGATATATTCATCGCGAAAAGGGTACAGCAACCCCTTCCCTCGCGACTTACCAAGTCGGTTATGGTTTACTAACAACGAGCTTTGCAGCGCGTCGCTTTCCTCCTAGACCAGGATTTATTTAATGAGAAAAAACTCACTCGGCCGGGACTCGAACCCATGACGTGGCCCTTAGCAGACTGCGAGGGTACCCACTAGACCACCGGGGCGACCGGTAGTTACACCAATGTACAGCGGTCGCCCCACCCCCGCCAGTCAAGTGGATACAGTATTTGGTGGACTCGGCACTGGATACGGATCGACGAGGACTCTGGGATAGGGAGGTCTCCACGCTCTCTATATACCCCCCTTACTCTCCCACGGCCTATAACGTATCGACATCCTGGGGTCATCCTTTTCTCTCTGCCATTTTGACAGCAAGCTATCCGCCTCCAACAAGTTTTTTTTGGAGGGCGGACAGCTTGTTACCAGATGGGCACAGAGAAAAGGTTGATCACGGGACCTTGATATGTACCAGGTATCAGACAAGAGTAGAGAGTAGAGAGCACAGACCAGAGACGGCGTGGACCCCTGCTGGGGGTTCCGTCTCCCAAATGCCCTCCCTACCACCACAAGGCCGCGTGACCCCCAGGTATCCTCATCTCAGTGGTAGATTCGCATCGAGTGCCGAGTACCCCCAAGCATATAGTCCGGGGACAAGACCAACGATCGTATCACACATCTCACCATCGACACAACACTACTCGTTGAACCAAACTTTCCCGCCCGTGTACAACACTCCTGTGCGTTTTTTTTCTCCCGCCGCGCAGCTTGCACGTGCTTGGTGCTCTGAGGCTTCGTCGCCTGACGTCATGCCGAGTGGTGTGTGGACCCGTGCGGGGGCCGATCTACGTGGAGGGGTGCAGAAACTGTGTCATTGTCGCGGCGGGGAGACAGGTTGGCACCACCCCTGCTGATGCTGCTGATGCTGCTCCTGATGCTGCTGCTGCTGCTGCTGCTGCTGCTGATGCTGACGCTGATGCTCTTGTTGGCTTCCGAGTCCGTCGTCGCTCCACCGCTCACTTCCACGCTATTTCGTGTCCCTGTATGGTGTTCATCTTGCAGTACGGTCTGTTGTGGTGCGCAGCTGTAGCACTGCCCTGCTGACGTGTGTCGTGTGTACCGTAGGTGGCACAATATATCACACCCCGGGAAAGTTGAAAGCTTCGATCGCAAATCAGCAGAAGGATAGGCGGTGCCCAAACTGGAGGCGTTGCAGCCGTCTCGCCCAGAGCTTCCGAAAACGCATCATTTGATGTTGGCATCCCCATCGTCGTGAAGTAGTCGAACTCTGACATTCGGTCCAGCAATTGCGATATCGCACGTCATGTACTGAACGTCCGAATGGGCGGAGTCCCATTCTTGCATATTTGCAAGGTAAAAACGTAGCCCGGCTCACACGAAAAGGGCATTTCGAAGGTCGTGTTTCTAGGTGGCAAGCTCGGGGTGTCGAAACTCCACCCTATGACTGCCGCTGACATCGATACAAGACCTTCAATTTGAGACTCGGCAGTAGCGCGCTCACTGCTGACTTCAATCACAATATGGTACAGTGCACTACATAACAACAATATTCCCTCCCCCATTGCTTGTTTTGTCCGACCACCTATGCAGCTGAGGATACACGAAAGCCGAGACGTAGACTTTTACGTGCTCGTGGCCAGCGGTCCCATCATCGAGGACTGCAGCGGCCTTCGCTTTGCCCCGGCAGGGCTGCGGTACCCGGAGTACCAGCAACATCTACAGGTGACAGAAAAGAAAAGAACCGAACAAGTTCGTTTCAGCGGTTCGGGTGTGTTTGGGTCAGTCGTCCCCGTGTGTGGCGAAGCCCGTCCGCACAAGTTTGTTTTGAGTCGATTGCTCCTCTTTTTGTTATTGTCGCCAGATAGTCTTCGGGAAATGCGCTGGGCCGTGTGTTATTTGCGCAAGTTTTGGAGGTGGTGGCAAAGAAACATAGCCATACGGCGTATACAAATCAATATCATGTTTTAGTGGTGGATTTTCGAGCCCCGTGTTTTTTTTTTTCGCGTTGCATTCAGTACGTACAAGTACGACACAGGCCCGTCTCGTTCGGTGCCTACTTTCGATCTGGAGCGGAAAAGCTGAGTGAGAGTGAGAGATATCCCCCACCGCGCACACTCCCGGACTTGTCCACTGGCGGGTGTGCTCTTGCCGGGCTTGAAGCAAACGCACACTTCGAAACTTTGTTCTCCGTACAGTACTTGCTGCCTTCGGTTTGATTGTGTCTTGTCTTTCTCGCCGCTATGAACGGAACCGCAGGCAGCCGGTTTGGACGAGGATGCCGTTACCAACACCTGGGGAGACGTGAAGGATTTCAAGTGGCATCGTGCACAGCAATCTCCTAACTGGGCGGTTATCCCGGAGTCGGAGAGGGAAAGCGATTCTCTTGCGATGGCGGCGCCGAAGTAGATACGATGTTTGCTCAAACAATAGGCCGCGCTCCACGTGGCTGTTGATGGCAGCTGCGACACTGTTACGTCTGTGTTCTTTGCCAGTATCACCACGCACAATAACGCAGCAGCCAGTCAATGCCTTGTGAATTTCAATCCGTACGCTCTTTCCAGGCACTACGGTTACTGCGACCCTCCTCGACTACCATCGCTGGTGTTCTACGAAATGCGCGTACTGTAGCGAATGGGCATGCTGTCTGTTACGTTATGGCAGCGGCGATGCCGGCATAGATGTACACGCCTACAGACGTTGTTGCGTATGTATGGTGTCGGAGCAATTTGGTTGCCCTTTTGAGCACTGCAAATCTGTCAATAGACTTCTTGGGTCCATTTATTAGCCCGGCTAGAAATGCCAATTTGCAATGGGGGAAAGAAGTTCCTTGGTCAACCTTCCTTCCCTTTGCTGGGATGGCATGGACTCAAAAGATGGATCCGTCTCAAAAGTAGATTTTGGGTCTTTACTTCGTTGACGCTGACGCGTCTCACGAGCCATTCAGCCGCCAGGTAATTCACGCGTGCGGTTGGTGCATCTATAACTACGTTTGATTCTACGACACACCGAAAACCTACATGATTGTATTGTAGTTGGGTGGAGGCTCCCTGCAAGTGCTACTGCTGTATGACGTGCCTTGCAACGAAGTCCTTCCGCGTCACACTGTTGCGTACTCTTTTGACCTCAGTTTTTCAGAAAACGTCAACACCCTCGGAGCAGCGACAGTGGCAGAGTGTGAGTCAGCCTGGTCTCGTCATGTTATCAGGAAAATAATATCCGTGAGGAGGAATGGTATGGTAAGTGGGCAGACACGCGGTAGCGGCCGTGTCGGACTGGATCTCCAGTCCAAACATGCTGTCGTTGGTTTACACCCTGTGAATTGATTTTCGCATCTCTCGAGGAGCGCCGTGTCAAAAGTGACGAGCTGCCACCAAGTCTAGCCTAGTACACTTGGTCTAACAAGCATCGGCATGCCTTGGCTGCCACTCGTTACAGGAATATTGTGTACCTGAAAACAGTCAACCTCCTGTGCACCCTAGACCGGGATCGACTCGTGTCCTCCGGCGCTCGCGAGGCAAGCGCACGCATGAGCATGCGGATCGCAAATCCTTCAGCCTTTTTGCCCTCTTCTCTAGACTTTACACGACAACCACCCGCCCAGGGGGGGGGG